GGCGGGGCGACGATGCCCATTTCTCAGACGCAGAAACGGAGGCACACCAAAGGGCTGAGACGTCCCCGGATCTCACAGCCTGACCCCACTTGCCCGATCATGCCAAAACTAACTCTCAAGGATAGGTTTTAGGCACGAGGCTCCTTTAGAGGTTCTCACTCCAGGACCAGCTGCAATGTCCTCCCTGGGCAGCTACTGGAGTGGGTGAGTGGGGGCAGGGTCCCTCACCCCTGGGGGGCTGGCTCCTCTGAATAGCATGAGCACAGCCTCCCCCCATTCTTCCTTCAGTGCTACCAACATACTCCCCCTCAGCCCTGGGGTCACCTTACTCCACCCCTGCCCAGAGCAGAGCCAAGGGCCCTGCCCTGCTGAGCTGGTCTTTGTCTCCACCGCAGCTGGTGGGGTTTAGGTAGGACTTGATGACGTGTCAACCCATGGAGATGGCAAAGACACACAGGCATGGGATTGGGAGAAGGAGTGAGAAAGTCCGGGCAGGAGGTGTCTGGGCCACTTTGAGCAGATCTGTTTTAGGGACCTGAGGTCTCTCCAGCTCACTTTGCAGTGAACGCACTTCCAAGGCCTCTGTTGTGGTCGAGTCCACACAGGCATGCCGGGTGGTAGCGAGAGGAACCGCCTAGAGGGACGCCCCACTGTGGGGTGGGGTGTGACGATGTCTGATGCCATGGGGCTGTGTTTGTTGCTTTCTGACTATAGAGATGGGGTCCTCTGGGCCTGAGAAATTTGCTGTATGTCGGGAGGGGCGGTGGAAATTCTCCAGGAAAACTCAGGAATCTAGAGCTTCCCTGGGGGTTAGGAGACCCCATTCTATTCCAGGTTGCCTGCTGGGTTCCCAAGCGAGACCTCCCTTTCCATCTGAGTTAAGAAAATCACTACCCATCCCATTCCCCACCCCATGCAAACACTAACCTTCCTCCTCCCTCAGAGGCCTGGGCCCTGAGAAGAGGCCCAGGAGCTCAGAGGAACCACAGGCCCATTTCCCTTCCTTCAGAAGGATGCTAGTGCAGGTGGGAGACTCTCAGAGGGTTTGTCAGTTTGGGTGAGACCCCAGTTTCATCCCTGCCTCCTGCATATCACTAAGATGCCAAGCTCAGGAAAGATGATGGGATGGGAGGAGAGAAATGGGGGAGGCAGGGAGAGGATGAGGGTGTTCTGGGGATGGGCTGGGAGCTGTGCATAAACCCAGGACTCATCCTGCAGGACAGAAACCTACAGGGAACTGCCACAAAGCTGACCACATCACTCAAGAACTGTCGGTGCTCCTCAGTACCTCCCAGAGAAACACAGCAATAGCTTCTTGTGATCTGACTGCTACCTGCCTGTCCCAATTCCTCCCATCCCTCCCTACTTTGTACTTTATGTCCCAGTTACACCAAACACTGTGGTGTTTCCTGAAGACATCCTTCATTCATTCATTTAGTCACTCAACAAATATTTCATAGAGTGCTACCACGTGCCAGGCTGGAGACAGATCTGGACTGTGAGCTCTCTGAGAACAGGATGGAACTGTGTTTCGTCTATCTTTGCAGCCCCAGTGCCTGCATTGTGTCTGCTACATGCTAGGAGCTCAGAAAAACCCTGTTGAATTCATGCTTATTCACTTCGCTAATATGTATTGAGCACCTATTATGTGCCAGACACTGAACCAGGCACTGAGCTTTAGCAACTCCCTGCTCTCCTGGAGCTGTCAGTTTAGTGAAGGAGGCTGACAACACACAAATGAACCAATAAATAATAATAATTTCCGATAAGTGCTATGGAGGCAAAATAAAGAGGGGTATGTGGAGCAGTCGGTAAGACCTCCCCAAAGAGGTGATACGTAGCAAGACCAAAAAGAACCAGCCATGGGAAAACATAGCGGAGTGCTTTCCAGGCAGAGGAACTGGCAAGCGCAAAGGCCCTGGGGTGGGCCCATGCCCAGCAGGTTTTAAGAGACAGCAAGAAGGTCAACATTGAAAGTGAAAACCCCAGGCGCTGCAAGGCCTCCTGGGGTCCTGTGTCAGAGGGACCTGTGTGGTGCCCAGTGGCTCAGGAGGCCTTGGACCCTAGGCCATTAACAGATAGCTCCGGTCAGCTCAGGCCCAGGGAGCTTTTGCCTTAATGGGATTTGTTCAATGGGGTTTACCCTGGAACATCCAATCAAATCCACATCTGGGGTAGGTGTGAATAGGGGAGGTGTGGCATCTGCTTACTCTCTCCCAGAGTCTCCAGAGGCCTGTGGATCCAAGGGTTTCCATTTCATCCAATCCCCTGTGTCTGGGCATAGTAGCTTCCAAGCAAATGGGACAAGACCCAACTGAAGAGAGGTGGGAGGTGGGGGCAGTGACTCCTCAAGGAAGTAGACTATTATTACCCCTATTCTGCAGATGTGGAAATTGAGGCACAGGGAAGTGAAAAGGTGTACCCCGAGATCACACAGCCAGTAAATGGCAGAGCTGGGATTTGAACCCCGGTCTCCCTCACCTCTAGCCGTGTTCCTTCTGCACAACAGGCTATGCTGGAGAACATGGAGTGAGAGGTCATCAGCAGCCCCGCTGTGCAGAGCCCTGCAGGCTTAGGTGGCCCACAGGGCCCCGGGAGTCCCTTTTTGCCTGCAGAAGCAGCAAGTATTTGCCCACAGTTAGGGGCCCAGCGAGGTCTGGGGCCTGCAAACTTTTGAATTTGAGGAAGTCCTGGTCTGATGCGGTAATCCACCCCCCCCCCTCAAGAATGCTAAGTCCTCTCCCTGGTGGGTTTTACTTTTTTTCCCGGTGACCTTGCTTTCACTAATGTATTACTTCTTGGTACGTTACCGTTACTAACTCAAAATCAATACCGACCTCCACATCTGTAAGGTTTTATCTGAAGGCAAATCTCTGGGCTGTCCGTCAGGCTGAGTGACAGCCATCCCTTCCTCTCCCCCCAACCCGCCACGGCNGGGGCTCCGGGTGTGACTAACGCCTGCCCCAGGCCGAGGCTCTAAACTCTTTATCAAGAGCATGTGTGTCCCACTCCGTGTCCAGGCACATGGGCTGGGGCAGGGAGCCGCCCTGGGCCCCTCTGGAAACACGTCCGTGTACATATGTGCACCCTGATCTCAAACATACATGCACATGTTATATACCCCCACGCACTTGCTCTCCACGCACACACATTCACACAGACACAGTTATACACAGACAGCATCATGTGTGCACATGCAGATGCACAACTATGCACAGGAGCATACAGTCACACCTGTGCACACACTCAAGCATACACGCACCCATATTTACACACTGCACGCATAGTCTACATGTTCACATGCATACTCCCAACACACAGACAGACTCAAGCATGTGTATACACTGTAAATAGTCACACATATTTGCACACTCACACTTATCTATACACACATATTTATTACACATGTCCACATAATAACATGCACATCACATATATCAAACACACAGGCACATACATAGACACAGCCACATGTACACACCCGAATGCACATTTAAACACACATGTGTATGTGTTACAGCCATGTGTGCTTATATGACCAAACGTGTGCACGTGTGTGTTCCTATGAAAACCAATATGCATGGCATGTGTGCATAATGTGCTCATTTAAACTCACATGTAGGTGAATAGTCATAAGCACATATACCCACATGTGCCACTCACATGCACACATTCACACACATACTCATTTGTACACAGGATGTGTGCACTAATACATAATATACATCTATGAACTGTAACACATCCATGACACATATTCACACTCATGCATGTACAGGTGTGCACGTATATCATATGGAAACATGCACATAAACAGGGGCCATGAACACAGCTGGGAGGTGGAGGCCGGCACAGCTGGTTCTCGTTTAGCGGTGGAGGCCAAGGCCATATGAGGAGTGGGCTGGTGTGGGGCATAGGAAGCAGAGGTCAGCGAGGCCAGGCCAGGGCTGCAGCCGGGCAGACATCACCCTTGGGCTGGGAGGTCTCACCCTCTCACCACACGCCCTTCTGATTAGTTTGACACCAGCAGGTGAGGCCTTGGCCCGGAGGTGGGGCAGGAGGAGCAGCCTGTGACCCCGGCTCCCTGTGCCCTTTTGACCTGCCCTGCTGCTGCCCTATCCAGCAGCTGGAGCCTGTGACTGGGTCTGCCTTTTGCAGCTTTTGGTCTGAGGACCTGCAATCTCCGCCGCAGGCAAAGTGCCAAAGGAATGGCGGCCAGAGTGGGCATGTGAGACGAGCTCAAAGTTTGGGAAACCAAGGCTAAGAACGGGGGAGAGGAGAGAACTCAAAACACAGCTGTCCCCCCAGGGCCAGGGCCAGGGTCTCTAACACCACACCGTCCCCGCACGGCAGCCACCAGCCACATGTGACTATTGAGCACCTGATATTGTGGCTAATGTGACTGAGGAACCAAAGTTTATATTCTAATTTAATTTTATCTAATATAAATTTAAAACCTGAAATTTGTTTAGTGGTTGGGAAACTTTTCAGTGTATTTGGAACAACTTGGGTGTATAGTTTATGAAATTTCAATACAGAGCAAGCATTTCCCATGAAAACTTTGTCTGCATTAAAATGGGCTGGATTTTAAAGATATAGGGTGAAGAAAAGAATGTAAAATATCTGATTCGTAACTTTATATGTATTACCCATCAAAATAATCATCTTTTGGATATATCGGGTTAAATAAAATATGTCAGTAAAAATAATTCCATGTGTCTCTTCTTAGGTTTTAAAATGTGGCTACTCAGATATTTTAAATGACATTTGTGGCTCGTATTATATTTCTTAGTGCAGGGACAGCACTATTGTAAGGCAACAGTGGTGTGAGTGCAGGGGCTAAGCTCAGTATCCTCTGAGAACAGCTTTTTCTCCTTTTCGGACCTCAGTTTCCTCATCTGTGATATGGGCGCCCCCACCCCAACACCATCTTTCAGCTCTACAAATAAGCAGGGGGCGGGGAGGTGGAGGAGGACGCCGGGGCGCCGCCAGGCACTCACTCTGGCCGTACTGGCCGTACTGGTAGCCAGCCACGGGGTCCACGCTGTAGCCGGTGGTGCTGTAGGTGGGCGGGCAGTAGGACTGGGAGGTGGGCAGGCTGTCCCCAGGCTTGATGGAGTCCGCCCGCTGGCTGCAGCTGGCCGAGATGGAGGGGGCGGAGTCCAGGCCGCCATGCAGCGGTGAGATGGAGAAGTCGGCCTGAGGCTGCGGAGGCACCGCGCTGGGGTTGCTCAGAATGCTCATCACCTGCAGGGAGAGACCATCAGTGTGGGCTGAGCAGCAGGGGTGGGGGCTCGGAGGAACCTGCCCATGTCAGTGTGTGCAGGGACGATGCCAGGCTGGACCTGGACAGGTCTTTGCCGGAGTTGCTCCCTTGAGGTCCCCGCAGCATGGAGATCCTCAGGTGACCTGTCTGCTTGCCCTTGTGGGTAAGATGGTTAACGGTTTCTCCTGCTTAGGCCCTGACCCATGGAGGTTCCACCAAGAGCGCTAGGGGCGGGGCGGGGCCGCATTCACCTCTCTATTCCCAGGCCTGGCCGAATGAATGAATGCATAAGTGCATGAATGAATGAATGAATGAATGAATGAATGAATGAATGAATGAAGTAGATAATTATGTCTCTCCTATCAGACAAGGACTGCCCTAGGACGTGGAACTATGCCTCCTCCATCAGACTGGGATGCCCCCGTCTTCCTTTACAAAGGTTAAAGCAGGACTCTGGATCTCTCTGACTTCACCCCTTGTCCTGTGCTAGGCCTGCTATGCTCTTGACTTTGAACTTCCGCCCCTACAACACCAACGTGCATGGCCAATGCTGTCCAATAGCCTCGCGGGCACCTTTCTTTGATTCTGGCAGCTCCTATTTGTCTGTGAGCATCGCCCCATTCTTTGCGTGGCCTGGTTTAGCAAACAGGAAGTGGTGACTGGGACTGATAGGGTGAGGTTCATCTGTAGAAACTCAGCTTAAAGAACCTGGTGTTGGTTCATTGGTGCGTTCACTTATTCATTCAACAAGCATTGATGGTGACTATAGCCCCTGGCCTCAGACTGCACCCTGGGACTTCAGAGAAGAAAGAGCCATGGTCACGACCCTCAGCAGGGGGAATGTTTTGGTCAAGGGGTTGGTGACGAGCAAGAGACCATCAAGATATGGGGTGATGAAGGGCCGGCCGAGTGGCTCAGTTGGTTAAGAGCTCGCTTTAGAGTTTGAGCTCTGAGCAACAGCGGTTCGAGTCCAGCCCGAGCTGAGCAGCCACTGAGCTGCCAACAGGTGGC